AGGGATGGTACCGCGGTTCTGGGGTGGTTCTTGGCCGGGGTACCCATTAGCAAAATCTCGGCGCTGGGACTAGCTTGGTTGCAGAATTGAAAAACCCGGACAGACGAACACACACACAGACAAACACACAAACATACACACACACATACACACATACATACACAAACAGACGAAGTCGTCTCAATATGCGTTTTTGCAATTTGCATATAGGCAAAAACGCATAAAAATGTTACTAGGCGTACTCGAATGGACTGACGTTGCATTTGCTGGTGCCGCCATAGCCGCAGGATTGTTTGTATGAGCACATGCCACATGGCTTTTTGTTGATTAGCACCGAGCCCATGTATGAATAAAAGCTCGCTAAAGCTTTGCCGTACCGTTGTTTCACGAATTTATAAAACCAGTGCTGTTGACAAATCGGTGAGATTTGACTCATATATGTCGTCTGCAGTGAGCCACATGAGTTTTTAATGTATCATCCACTCTCCCAAAGCTTACCACTTCACAGAGGATTCCGAACGCAGATGTTCTCGTATATTTAAAGTCAGCAAATATTGTTCAAAGTTCATACATGATACAGATATACGAAAACAGTATATGTATTCGGAATTTTCTGTGTTTGCTTTTTCATGCGGCCGAAACGATTTCGTCATACTTATGTGACGAGTTGTTGCTTCGTCTCAGAAACATGTAACCAGATGGGCAGACTGGTATAAGCTTTTATTAACTGTGTAATGTCCAGAATCAGTGGTCCGCAATGAACAAGCTGTTTCCATTTGCTGGATATTAGAATTATTTTGGAATGCGTGTCAAAAAGAGAAGCTTTCATCTGTTTCGTCTTTACGTGGTATCTTTAAGAATTTAGCGTACACAGATAAGATAAAGATTATTGTGAACATATATTCGTACCAGTGGAGCAAAAGCTCACCAGATATTGCCTTCATGCACTATCATAAGTTACGAACATTATTGTACCTTTATCAGTCTTTACTAGACCTAGAAAATAATGAGATCTGCTTCCTCAGCCAACTAGCTAGGGCTTTGGCACCAAAAGTTAGCCATTTTCAAGTTCTTTTAAGCGAAAAATTTTTGCTGTGTTATTCCTGGAAAATAGCAG